ACCTTCACCTCCCTTATCTCTTTCCCGAATGTAGCGTGAAGGTTCTTCATGAGGAGCATCTGCTCTTCCTTATCACGTTTGAGCTGCTTTTCCAAGCGACGGGCATGTTCCTACTGCTGCTCTTTCAATTGACGGGCCTGTTCCTACCGTCCGCGCTGCAGCTGCTCTTCCAACCGATGGGCCTGTTCCTGCAGCATCATTATCAGAGCACCTAAGTCGGTGGCAGATGTAGGAGCTGCTGACGGGACGGCCTCCGTGGCCGACAGCTGGCCCTCCGACATCTGCGGCGTTGCACCATTAAATCGACTCTGGTCCGGCTCTTGCTGACGTTGACTTTAGGTACGGACACCCTCCGTGACGTCTTTTGGTAAAATCAGCATGATTTGATCCCACTTCTGACATCAATTGTTACGAGCTTTGGGTTCGTGACAGTAAAAACTGCGGATTGAATTACCAAAATTGACACTTTAATTACCGAACACCAATTAAAACTTAAAACACACTTAACACTTAGTTCGCAGCTGAAAGTCGTCATCATTATATCTTTTTTTTAGCTTTTAATTATTAAGTACAATGATTTCTTAAACGCGAACACCATACATAAAATAAAACTATTTATACGGATTTTATCGTGCTTAATTAACTTATTTTAACTTATTTTTAATTTCCAATGTTTCTGGTGCTTCACAGCACCCATGATTACGCGGGGGGGGGGGGGGGGAACTGAGATGTTTGACATCCCAATGTCATAGTTAGCCCGGCTACGTTCAGTTTTCGAATATATTTGAATGTTCAGTTTTTGAATGAAATCTTATCTAACAAACATATTGAACATATAAATGATATAAAAAGCACATTATCAGCAAGATAAATTATTGTTGAACTTATTTTATTTTTAAATTAAATTAATTGCTATTTTTACATTAAAAAGTTTTGGCTTATGGTGAAAATTTATTAAGGAGGATGCATGGAGGAGTAAACACGATAACTTTTGAAAATATCAATAGTTTAACTCAATCTGTTTTTAAACCTCTTCATCTATCGTGTGGGAAGCCATGGAATGTAAATGGCTGTTTAATTTTGTTTAGTTTAGTTATAATTTTATTTTGTTAGTTTTTTTGGATTATCGGTGTTTGAACAGCCTTATTATGATATATTTTTGTAAATACCAGTGTGACCATATGCGACAGGTTCCTGCCAATTTGGCAGGTTCGACATCTTATTTTAGCCTTTGGCATGATCGTTTGACGTTTGATAAAACCTGACAGTATTTGGGTATTAAAAATAGATTTCATTATGGCAAATCAGTGCTGAAAATGGCAGCCCCAGATTTTTCGCCAGCATGTGGGGATTTCCCTGTACTTCTCGTATTATGTTTGTATCACAATCAATAAAAAAACTTTAGAAATATGTTTGTAAAGTTGATAATCTTAAAACAAGTGTTCATAAACACGAGTTTTTGATTTTTAATAATGTTTTAATCAGTTATAGAAGGTCGTACATTAGTTTGGTATCGAATTAGATTTTACTGTGATACTATCTTGTTAGAGATATCTTGTTAATTTCGTGGGCGATAGTAATTATTGGTAGTGGTGATGAAGCGAAAATACGATATTATAGAGCATAGTGGGAGCAAAATAATTTACTTTCGACTTTTTTTATAAAGTTGGCATCCCGGCTTTTAGCTTTAAAGGAACATGCCGCTACTAATAAACATCAAAAAATATAAGTGAATTCGGTGGGCAGTCTTTGATAAGTTTAATAAACTAAAGACACAAAAATGCATGTTTCATTTTAAAATGAATTCACTGAGTTATTTCAGGTGCATCAATTCTTTAAGAAATCTTCCTTGCAAAAAGAAATTAAAAAGGCAGAGCAAACGTGTCCAGTATTTTAGTAGAAGACAATTTGCCATATCGCGTAATGGGATGAAATATTTAATACAATGGTAAATAAAGTTAGCAGTATTTAGGAATTTTTTACTACTGGCAGGATTTGGCAGGTTATTAACCAAAGTTAGGCACGATTATGTGATTACTCTAAGGCACGATCTGTTTTTTAACATTTTAGTATAACCCTTAAAAACATCCCCATGTATTATGAACTGAAAAATCACAGACACACACACACACATGCAAGTATACAAGAATTATTAATAAATAATTATGAAATTTCACAACCATACTATGTTAAATTCCAATAATATATTGATTTCTTATATTTACGCGAACACTATACATGATTAAAACTACTTTTACGGATTTTATCGCGTTTATTTTTACTTTTATTTTTAATTACCGACGTTTCGGGCGCTTTCCAGCACCCATGGTCACGGGGGACTGAGATGACTGACGTCCCGATGTCATTGTTAAACCCGGAGTACCTTCAGCTTTTTTAATTATTGTTTATGGTCCGATCTATGCAAAATGAACTGACTATGTCCTGAGGTCTTGCAGTGGTATGCTTGGGTTTAGTTTTAATTTTATTGATTATAGGATCCCAAGCAGGTGGTAGTACCCAGCCTCCTTCTCTATTGAAATTAGGATGTTTTTTAATTTCAATAGCCTCACGTATCATCCTTGGTAGGAATCGGTGTTCTTTCGCGAGGATTTGTGGTCTATCAAATCTGATGTAATGGTTGGGTCCGTCTAGGATATGATCACAAACTGCAGACTTCCCGGAACGTTGATGCTTCACATCAGCAATATGTTCTTTTACGCGGGTCCCAATTGATCTTTTTATTTGTCCTATATAAGAGAGACCACATTCACAATCAAGCTTGTACACTCCTGCATTTTGTAGAGGAATATGACACTTGACGGATGGTAGGAACTGATTAATCTTCTTCGGCGGCTTGTAGAATGTTCTAATAGAAGCTCGCTTCAAGATATAGCCAATCTTGTCTGTGACACCTCTGACATATGGTAGTACAGCAGGCACACGCTCGACTGTGGCCGGCTTCACTCGGTCACTGTGACGTAGGCGCGGGACCCGAAGCTTGCTGTCGTGAAGAACTTGCTTGACGTGCTGAAGCTCGGTGGCCAGGTGTTTGCTGTCACAGATCCCTCGTGCTCTCTGTAACAAAGATTTGCCCACGGTAGCTAACTATGAAGGATGGTGGTGAGATTCACCGTTTAAATATCGGTTTGATATCCCTTTATCAATAAAATTAAAACTAAACCCAAGCATACCACTGCAAGACCTCAGGACATAGTCATTTCATTTTGCATAGATCGGACCATAAACAATAATTAAAAAAGCTGAAGGTACTCCGGGTTTAACAATGACATCGGGACGTCAGTCATCTCAGTCCCCCGTGACCATGGGTGCTGGAAAGCGCCCGAAACGTCGGGAATTAAAAATGAAAGTAAATAAAAAGTAAAAATAACCGCGATAAAATCAGTAAAAGTACTTCCAATAATATGTTAAATTCCAATAATATAGATGAGTAAATGATAGAAGTGATTGGGGAACTCAAAATTCTCATAACACCCATGTAACATCCCAGGGTGGAAGGAGTGCCTGCAAACCAGCGCTTCATGGGATCTTAGTTTCATGTAAGCAAAAGATGAGTCACTTCCGTTTGCCTAAATTTAATTAAGTTTAAGTAATTATAGTCAACCAAATCTAAGAAATACCTTTTGACGTTTCACATTAATCATTCAGCAATAACTTTGCACAAGCCTACTCACACGATTTAAAATAACCTTTTACGTAAATCCGAATAATTATGAATTTATCTATATTTCATTACAACGTATATAGTTTTATATCACTAATTTAAATTTAAATCTTTCAAACAAAGTAGAATATTAAAAAAATAACCAGTATCAACTTTATTACTTGGCGTCGTTTCAATGATATGTCTCTATGTACATTGCCGTAGTGTTTGAATGATCAAAATTCATTGTTATGTGAATAATCGGCAAAAATATTCAAATAATCGAATCATAATTCTTTTTAATGTATTGTATTATTTGTTTAATTTAATTTTTATTTTTAATATTCCTTAAACTAAATGAATCATGAATAAAACATATTATTTTTGTTTTTACTTTGTCAACATAAATCTGTGTAGGCAAAAAACTCATATACAAGGCTGCGCTGAAAAAACCACTACCTACGTAATTTCAATATCCCGCCGTTTCGGGAGCTTACTGCGCGTAATTTTGTGTTTGGGTTCTTATTTTGTGACTCGGCTTAAACTTTTTTGACTGTTTCTTTTATATTCATTTAAGCATGTGCCCATGTCACAAAGGATCTATGGGCAAAAGTGGTAGAAAAACAAAAAAAAAATATTATGTATGACTTTAAGAGAGACATTAATTTTGACTGCATTATTGAAAATCAAATAACAATTAATCTAAACAACGACAGCTCAACTAGTTGTACTGAAAGTGATTGATTAAATGTATTTTTAATCTAGTTTCAATCTTAATTTTTTATAACTGTGCCTCTAGAAATACGCAGTAACAACAAATACGAAGAATCTGATAAATCTTGTGTTTTAAATTTTTCGTTTTTAATATTTCTGGTATTATTTAAACCAAACTGTAAATGATTACCAACTCTAAATAATAGATATCAATTTTTTTCAGAATCGAATATTGTACGTTCCCTTTTTTGGTTGGCATGCTTAGTGCAGTAAGTCTGACAGCTGTCAAAATGTATTTCTTAGATTTGGTTGCGTAGACAGAGAATCCTACTCTGTCTACGTTTGGTTGACTATAATAATAGTTTATAATAATGCTCTAAGATATGTAAACATGTTTTTTAAAAGTGGCAATAAAGTGATATTTATTTATATATTTTTAAAGATGGCCACACTAAATGTAGCTGTCACTGTCACAATCATTGTTTAACATCAGCAATCAGCGTAAATCCTAAATCAGTTTTGTGATTTGTGTGTGCGTATATTATTGTTTAGTGGAACGCCTATATAAGTTTTTGCTTTAACGAAAAATGTTATAAGATCGGTGACCAAAATCACTATTGCTACCATGAAACCTTTAATCGATTTCGATGAATGTCTTAGAGATTCCCCAAAATTCAGGTAAATAAACGATATTAGTAATCAACGAAAGTTGCTTATAGAAAGTGAAATTTTAAACGTGTTTTGTGTTCTAATATTCACCAGTGTCTAATTTGCCACTTTAGGGAACAGTTAGAAACGGAAGAAGCCAGCATCGATGGCTTGGAGCTAAAGCTCGATAAAATTCTCAAGACTTGTTCTCTTATGATAGAATCAGGGAAAACATACATGACTCATAGAAGGTAAGTCTAAGTGTGTCATTTTTATTGTCAAAATACTATGACTGCTACATTTTGTTTATTTTGGACACTGACCTCGGACTGGCTATACACTGTGACATAATGAGGCGATTTGATTTTCGCCATTTTGACGCTGACGGCAGAAGTGAACGTCCACAGAATTAATAATAGAGATAAGTCTGTGTGATAAAATATATTGATAAATTTTTTACACCCAGGCCTACCCATGACGTCCATTCAATTTATGTATCATATTAATACTCTGAATGGCTATACTTAGCCTTTGAGCGAGAAAATAAGCAGCCCTCTTATCACCAGCAGCAACAATCGGTTGCGGACAGTTTTTTCAGAACTTCACCCCACGGACCGATAGTTTCTACAGCAAATGGCACAAATATGTACTCATCTCTCAGAGACTCATATTTGGGCTGCTTATGTAGTTCAGTTGCCTCTGATGCCACCCCTACTTTAAACGAGTTACCCCTGAGATGAGAGGTTGCAAAAGTGTCTTTGCAATTAGTATCCCACTGCATCCTACTCCACTACTCTTCCAAGCGTCCAAAGTCATACCGTCAGGTCTCCTGCCTCCTGTCGTCTAAATATTCTATCTAAAAAGCTCTAAAATCAAGGGAACAATTGTAGAGACGGTACGACTTTCCATCGACGTCCATCTAATTGAGGGGGAGGTTTAATACCCACCCCTTAAAAGGAAAAGTTGCAGAGCCCCCCCCCCTTTTCGAGTTTTTTCATTTTTAACTCTGAGAAAATTTTCCTCATTTTATGGATTAATATTAAGTGTAAAAAACCAGGACACCTTGGGGGAGGGGGGTTCCCCCCTACGGAAGGGGGAACCCCTTTCATCAGAAAAAAAAGGGGGGCTGATTGAGAGAGATTTCTGTGTCTATTTAGAGACTGCAATGTCTACGGCGCTGCGGGAAGAGCAGCCTCTTTGCCTTTGCATAACAAATCGCAGGCATCCATCCTCTCCTCCGCAGCTTCAGCTTGTTGGTCGCCTTCGGCGACCAGCCTCAGCCGCTCCGGCTCGTCTGTTGCCTACGATTTGTTACAGCAGGCGAAGGCTGCTCTCCCTACGCTCCTCCGGCTCTATAATAACACTCTAGGGGTAGGACAGACTCATACCAAGTGGAGTCGGGGTCAACCAATTCGGTTCTTCGACATAAGTTAAAGCTAACCTATTTTATTTACTTACTTTTAAAATAAAAGAAATCAAATAAAATTCATAATTTATTAATCAATTTTATATACATATTGTATTGCTTTAATTAATTCTTTGAAAACATCTTTATGTGCTATTTTTATTTTTCTTCGCCAAGAATATTCAATTAGCCAGTCTGTAAAGTTTGCTTTATAACTTTACCGAACTAAATTTCGCCAGTGGCTTTCTATTCGTTGTGTGTGTGTCCCATCTGGTGCCACAAATTTATTTATAGGGTCGCTGTGATTAACTTTCTTATGTATATATCCATATTGAGGTAGGCAATCGTAGGCTCTCTAAAAATTGGTATGGATTTCAGTGCCTACCTCCACATGCGTTTGTATTAGTGGCACCAACATTTCTGCAGATCTATCATTATCGGGACACACTTCTAATTTCAAATCATCTTTCCCATTTTCTATCATGCCCAGCACCCAATGGCCTTTAATGTGTCTCCCTCTGTTGTACTTTCATTTTCCAAAATTTTTGCACGATTTTGCCTGGACCACCAATCTTGCCGTTAACTTCTTGGTGCTCCAATTCATAAACAATTACTGTCTCTTGGCAGTAAGAAAACCAGTCAGTTATTGTCCTTGTTGATAAAATTGTTTCTTTATCTTCACGGGCTGTTTCTAATTTAACTTGATGATAACTATATTTTTGGCTGAACATATACATCAGTAAAAATTGTAACTCGATGGACAGCCGCGCATTCTCGAACCATGTTCCTGCTGCCCGACTCACTGCCTTAGAGCGACAGTTACTCTTCCTGCATCGAAATATGCCAAGCTGACCAGTCTTACTGCTGGAGCTTAACGCCATAGGTCTCCTATGATATGAGCACATTTTTTCTGTAGGAAGGAGCCTATGCTCTTCAGCAAATGCAATGCACTGAGCTGGGTTATGATTTCATACATATTCCAGTGGCACCTAAAACAAGCAAAAATATTCCTATTAGAAATCTAATTACTGCTTTACTCGTCAGCTTTTTCTGTGAAGTTTACATATGTGCTATATAAGAAACCACGGGTAAGGTTTACAATTCGGTCGCCTGAATTAGGGGGTGTGGGGGGAGGGGGAAGAGTTGTAGAGTCACCACAGTCGACAGAGCCCCAGACGGAGTTCGCGGGGCTCCTGCTTCTGAGAGGTTTACAAAAAAATAACCACGAAGGGGATCATCTCCTTCTAACCTAACCTGTCCGAGTTGGGGTGCCCCACGTCCTAAGCTCCCTTCGCTCGCTATTGCACCCAATATAACACCAAAATATTAACTTTTATAACTACTTTAATTTATAAACATAATTTATGGCTGCCACTATTTGTAAGAAAGGATCTTTGCGTTATTTAGCAGTATTCCGCCACCACAAATATCCACTATTACCAAATTATGAAACTCTGGGGGACGAAAAGCTGTCAACAAAATGGCCGGCTTAGCGATTAATTTTACACATTTTTAAATCGATTCAAATCGAAATTGGATGAATCGATTCACAAAAAAATCGATTTCGCAAAAATCGATCTTTTTTCGATTTGCGTTAAAAGTTTATATTTACAATATCAAAAGATACAACAAAGTACAGATAACATTGAATGGTTGAATTAAAAACTGTCATTCTTTACGAGTTAGGGTACATTCAACTAATTTTAAATAATTTTACAAATCTTAATAAAACAGAAAAAGATTCGATCTCGATTCTCTAGAGTGAAATATCGATTAATCGATTCACTAGATCGTTTCAGTACTATATATCGATATTACATTGAGAGATGAAACGTCAAAAACGTAATTAATTAGTCATTTACCAATATTTTTAAAAAATATTAAAAAATACTTCGACGCTGCTTCGGTAGCAAAAATCGAGTGGCGGTGCTTCAGATAAACACCATTGACTCCCCCCCCCACAGTGACAGAATCTTCAAATTCAGGCGACCGAATTGTAAACCCAACCCGAAACCACAGTGAACCAACCTTATTTCCTCGGCATAGTAGTGGACTCTTCGGCCAGACGAACCAGGAGCTCGAGGTTCCGCATCAGCCACGCTGCTCTCAGACGATGTTGGAGACGCAGGCGGCAAGTACCGATACGGTACTGGGAACAGTGGCGCGGGAACTACCAGCTATTGGTTTCGATAGCACAGTCATGGGCACAAGTGGCTCACTAGAGTCCAACACTTGCACACACGGGGGGCCTGCAGAAGAGCTCGCGACAAGTGGCTCATCAGAGTCCAACACTTTCACTACACTCGATTCTACAGACGGCACTTCACCACACGGGGGTCCTGAAGAAGAACTCGCATCAAGTGGCTCATTAGAGTATAACACTTGCACTACACTGAATTCTTCAGACGGCACAGCAGAACACGAAACTTGGGGCTTCGGAGACGCCATGGTGGTAGTCAAACGTTGTTTTCAACGTTTGACTACCACCATGTACATACCACAAAATAGCGTCAGTTTTACGTTTCGTTCCACAAGCCGGGAAAAGACCGTAAACACTGCACATTTTAATTTTAATAGCTCGTAATGAAAATAATTCTGTTGTTTAAATATAAACTGTTAAATATATATGCATGCATGAAAACTATTAAAATGGATACAAAATATAATTATTTACGTAAATTTATATAAAATGAAATGTTACCCAACATATGACAAGTTAACCGTACTTAAAACGGAACATTCAATGGCGTGATATATCTGTAATACGATTTAATCTATGGCAGGAATTGACATAAATATTGCAAAAATTATTGATTTTCGATAATTTTTTTCTCAAAAACTACGCGTTTCCGCATGTTGAAACTTTGCGTGTGTGCTTATATTAATGTCATCTTTCTGTAAAAAAATATCAACCCCGAACTCGACGGACGTCAATGGAAAGCTTAGCCTTTACACGTAATCGCTTACCATAAATCCTATAAGAGCAGAATGTACTAAGAAATACACAAACTACTATAAAAACCATGACTTTGCTTCGGCCTCGGCCGCGACAGGCAGGTGAAAATATCTACATTAGGGAAAATTACATAATATAAAAATGTAATGATAATTACCTTTATTTTTTATTAATTAATTAGGGTTTGTAAAACTGTATTATGGATTATAGGAATTATAATTACATATAGATTAATATACACAAATGTAATAGAATGACTGTTCGTCTACACAAAAAATAATAACACAATAAATAGTCGATAAACTGCATTTGGTTCTACTTACACGTGCCGCCTTTAGCCCCTCTGATTAATAGACAGAGACGCTACTATGATACTGCGTAATTGACAAGGACAGCCTCAGAACTACGACCAGAACACGTTGAACCCTCACGGTTTTAGTACTTTAAGATTGTTAAATGTTGCACTTACCGGTGAACCGTGACTTTATCCTTCTTGAAATTATGTTTCCTGCTATCACTAATACACCACTTTACTGCGCAAATGGGCATGTTTTACTGTTTTTATTTTAAAAAATTGTAGCGCTAAGGACGCAGTGCAGAGGTCTGTTGTCTGGTCACTACTAAACAGGATAGCATTCCTGTTCAGCTATATAGGCTCTGGTTGAGCAGATGAAGTACAGAAATTTGTCGCCTTTCGTTACATGTCTCGTAGGCTAGGTGGTCAGTGCTGCTCAATGAATTGAAAAAATTAGACTTAATCGCTAAGAAAACTAACGAAAACTAGCTAATTTACGTTTCTAATTTACTCCATTTGTAGTATTGCTGAAAATAGTCTGCGAAATTATATTAAGCATAATGCACAGAAAAACAATTCAGAGGAAGAGCTATCTCTCGAAATTATGGCCAAACTCATTGGTCGTTCTCTACTTCCTATTGTAGAAGAGCACATCAATTTGCAACATCATGACACAAATCTGGCGCGGCTTATTGTTATGTTATGTAAGAGTTCGAATCTTATATGAATCCAAGAGATAATATTTCGCGGATAGCGTCATCAAAGCAGCAGTTATTTAGAAAGCAGGGTTATTAAGGGTTTTAATACAAAACGCCTATTCAAAAAAGTGTAGCATATTTATATAAATAAATAATACTATATACTTATATAAATATATCTCTTCCAACAGAATAATATGATGACATAATAGATTTGTGAATATTGTTATAGCACAAGATATTACGTATATAAATAATTTTAATAAAATATTAGTTAACAAATATAAGTAATTTTATATTTCTCTCTTTGTAAATTATTAATAAATAATTCTATACACAACCGAAATATTAATTTTACTTCTATGTCTACTATTACATTTTGCCCATTTTTGGGGGAAATTGTCATTTACTTGCATACATTACTCATTTGCTTGTGTGCATGTGGGCAAACGTAATTACGGGCCGCTTATGCATACATTTATTGTGTTATTGCTTCAACTTTGAATGGAATTTTAAATGACACTATCGCTCTAAGTCTAATTACTCTATGCTTATTATATATAACTAAAATCAAACATATTCAAAGTAACAAAATACTTCCATTTTTTCATTTAAAATACGATTTAAACAAAAACAGACTGGCATATTATGCCAATTTATACCTGGTACGAAAAATAGCAGTACTTCAAATCGGCACAAACATTTTGTAGTAGTTTGTACTTGTATATACAAGTACGGTGTACTGATATAGATGTCAGTGATTTTGTAGCTTCCATATACTTTAATATGTTTAATCTATTATTGTTTGTGTATAGTTACCAAAATTTAATTGCTCTTAAACAACTTAATCTTACTAATAAGAGGAATTAAAAAAAAATATTTTAAGATAAGTGCAGTTATTACTTAATGTATTTTAGAATAGATATTTTCAAAAGAAAATATCAGAAATTAGTTGAAAATTATTTTAAAATGGTTTTATTCTATTTTAGTTCATTTACAAATGCCTTATGGGACTTAAGCAGCAGTTTTTCAGAAGATCCAACGGTAATGGCAAACTTAAACCGCATGATCCATGCCCTTCAGGAAATGAACAAGTTCCATTCAATACTACTAGACCAGGCCTCCAGGACTATACTCAAGAATCTCGCTGCATTTATTAAAATGTAAGCAATAATTTTTGTATCCTTTAAATTTTTCTCATGTTTGAAATTATTACTCACCAATAAAATCTATATAAATCTTGCCTAATACAAGTTATGTGAACTCAATACTATGATGTGTAGTTCGTAAGTAAATAAGTTCAGAAGAGTGTTGAACTGTGCAAACTAGTTTGTAGGTGATTGTCAATTTTAGTGTGGTTAACTAATAGGAAATTGATCATTGGCTCGGCATTAACATTATCTCTCTCGTAGAATAGTGTAAAGTAGCAGCTCAATGCTGCCGTGTGTAATATATATTATATATATATACACAGTAGTCTCACTAGATTATTGGAATGTTGGGATTACTGGATTGTAAATTCAAGGCCAATATAAAGCATTAAGTATGTAGTAATAAGGCGATATGTATTTACATATTACATAAATATGTATGTATGTACATATATATATTTGTGACAATGTTTATCTTACTCGCTCAACAGTCAAAACATCCATCCTGGCTATTTGTCAAATATCTATTGTCAGTAACTGTCATCAATTACGGCGATTCAATTCCCGCCATTTTCTGCCTTTTTATTAATACTTTAATTACTATTCTAATATATTATACTTCGCTTTTACATATGTTTTATTGCATAATTAAAAGCGAAGTATAATAGTAATTAAATGTTTATTATATTTTATTGTATAAACCATAACATTACACCCATATATTTAAGAGCCCAGTCTTTCAGAGCAAAACAGAAAAATTGCGTTCTGGTGACACATCTACACCCTCCCTGCCCCGCCACTTCATGTACCGCCACCGCAGTTATCTTTCTGGCCGTAGCGTGGAAAGTTGCTCTACTAAGATTTTCCAGTATCAATTTATCTAATATACAGGATTATTGATAATTAGCTAACAAATTTTCACATACAGATTTTCTACCTCGTATCTATTTTTGTTCCATGCTTTTATTACAAAATTCGTTACACAAAAAAAAATATTTTAAGTTTGTATAATTTTTGTTGTTTTGTTGAAAAGGTTTCTAAAAGTTAATCATCTAGAACCTGTATAACATGTACTCGTATTATTGATTATTCAAATGAATCTGGCAAGTGCTAGAATGAGTCGTGCACTGAGGGTTTCGTAATAAGTCGATGACACTATCGAAAATCCGTCAAGTACGTCAAGTAGTTCTAAATACTAAAATAGATTTAAAAAAAACTCAAAATAATTTCTATATAAGTACAAACAGTCCACTATCACACATATTTATAGTTTCTCATTAAAGTATAATGTAACTTTGTATAGCATTTACCTATATGCATTACAAATATGCAACTCATTTATAAACTATTCTTAAAAGTACCTACCTAATTATATACCTAATATTTAACCAAGTGCTCACACATATGCACGTTGTTAACTATTTTACTATGAAACACAAAAAAACTTACCTTTGAATTCTATTTCTGTTCATTGCTTCAACGTTTGATTTCAATTTTCGTTTTCTGGTACAAGCATATTTTTTACGTTTATGGTCCATATCGAAATTAAAAGTTATAAAACAAATACAAAATGATTTATAAACCCTTAAAGAATTATATGCAAAAAATAATAAAGTAGAGCAACTTTCAATTCGTAACAATGCGCAACCAAGATTAGGGAAAGAGAGAGAAAGAGGAATGTTAGAGCGAGAGGAAGTGCAAAAATTTGGCACAGACAAGACGTCTGAACGCTACAGCCGCTCAGCGGCTACTAAGGAATATTGCCCGCAATTATTGTTTATAAAGTCAATATTTTATAGGTCGATCGAAATAATTATTAATTTTGAAATAAAGTGGTTTAAATTATTATTTTTTAATATTTGTCTAATTAAACACCTGCCCTTGAGAAAAAAATTATTATAGCATAAATATTTTCAGCTATTGCTATGAAACAAATAGTTTTTTATGAGGCGAAAACAGCGAAATTTAACGAAATTGAGACCTCTTATTTAAGACAATGAAAGATATTTAGAAAAAAAGAAACAGCGCATTTTGGAGATGAAGATGTTTAGCTATTAACGCGCTGAATAGATTTCGCCTTTTTATTATCGATTGCCTTATAATGGTACACGAACAAAGCTCGAAATTGCGTTGGGTGCGAGAGAGCTCTATTTACCGTTTGATTTATCTAACATAGACCACATAGATGAACCAAAAAAAATTTAGCCATTACTTATAATCTGGGTATTTATGTGTTATCAAAATATTTTACTCTGAAACAATAATTTGCTGTAAAAAAAGAAATCAAAGTGGCGCTAATGATTCGATGTGAGTCAACTTTAAAAGACTGTAGCCTTAAAGATAACACGAAATTAAGTAAATTGTTCTCCCGGGCAGTAAATACAAGCCGTAATTGCTGCAACATTTAAGAAATGACGCCATTTAGAAAGATACTGTTGAGGGGTTAATTAAAATTTGTTTTTTGTAACTGGTAGTTTTTGTTAAAAAACTTTCCCTCGGAGATTGAAAGCACTACAACACCCTTGCCAGTTACACCATTTGCTTCAGCCCATGTTATACAGGTATTGATACAATTAAACGCCATATCTCGTTTTATATTTGCAGTAGTAGTTGGTGGCTCCAATATTTCTGCAAGGTTTTCCTTCTTCTTGCACCTCTTGGTCATCATTTGCTCTGTTTCTTTAGTGTTCTCTTCAAGCCAAGAATTTAAATCTGCTTTGCTTTTCTTAAGATCGTGCAAAGTAGCACGCTCAACTCCGTACTCTTTCTTCAGTTTGCACATGTTTTCTCCACTATCTAACTTTTTTTAAATCTTCGTTTTCTCTTTCAATGCTACAGTCTATGCAAATACCCCTGAGCCTAATAAAAGTCATTTATTTCAATATTAGAGACAGACATATTTTTTGAGTAAATGATAACTAAACTTACGTAAAATCAGAAATTTAACATTTAAACATGTTGGTGTTTGATAGTTGGTGTTAAAATTAAAACTATGTAAATTGTTTATGTTATACGGGTGTACCGTGATAGGTTTACGATTAATAAATGAAAAAAATAGATACTAGATGTGAACAAATATTATGTATTGCCTACCAAATCAATGATCATTCATCACACATGCGGGTTTTACTTTTTAAAGATTATGCCGTCTAAATGTTTTACGTCGCGGTGTACACATTTTTGGAACTTCTCGACACAATTCCGAGCGACGCGATGCAATATTGATTGCGGAATAGCGTTCAGTTCTCGCTTGATATTTTATTTTAATTGTGATATGTTTGTTCGGTTGTTATCATCTTAGAATACTATAATACACAATATAATGGTTGTCAACCTTATTTTGTACGAGGATCGGTGTCGCCGGGAGCACACTTACAAGCGATTCGCATATAAACCCGATTCGCTGTAATGACAGACTGAGCGAATTTACACATTTAAGACTGTTTTTGACACATCAATATTTCTTTGTTTTCGCTTCTAATATTCACAAAATATAAATAGTTTCGACTTACTGATTGTAGGATATGTGTCCTTTATTTAAATTCCATTTCCCGCTGTTCTTTCGACACGTAATTATTGCACAATTTGCCATTTTTTAAATAATTTGCAATTGACATGTTAGTGATATGTAAGTGGCTACACGGGTCCCGCCCACTCCCCCGTTCTATTATGTATCTATTATAGTATTCTATGGTTATCATAGACTTTTGCCTTAAGATATCCCCACAGAAAAAAGTCAACGGGGATGAGATCCGGTGATCTGGGTAGCCACACGATGTCACCATATCGACTAATCAGTTTTCTAGGAAACTGTTCGCGAAGGAAGCTCATGGTGGCTCTCGCCGTATGAGCTGTGGCGCCATCTCGTTGGAACCACGTGTGTGAACAGTACGATCAGTGCTCTCGAAGTTTCGGCAAAAAGTATTCGCTTATCATGCGGCGATACGCATCACCATCAAGGGCTACTGTTGCTCCACGGGAATTTTCAAAAAAAAGGCCCAATATATCCATTGGCTCATAAAGCTGCCCAAACGGTGACTTTGGGGCTGTGCAAGGCTAGTTGATGCTTTAATCGGGGTTTTTGTCTTCTTGGTGCCTAATACCGGCAGTTTTGTTTGTTGACAAACCCATTTAAATGGAAATGTGCTTCGTCACTGAACCAAATTGTGTTTACAGTTTGAAGTCGGCTTAGTATGTTTTCACAGTACTCTTTAATCGCCTTGAAGTTCTGGTTTAAGAGCCTTTTTTACATGGGGAAATGCCTACGCATACCCGCCTCGCGGGGGCAAGGACGGGTTATGTCGGACTCGCACCGACTAAAACCCCATGGTGTTCCACCTTCTTCGCATATTGGTAGGGTCACGGGAACGCTTTCGCACACATCCGCGGCCCCCACCAGCGCCGGTGTGGCCATAGAAGGAAAAGGGGAGATCTCCCGCCGGGCAAGGTGTTCTGCCCGGGGAGCGGCCAAAACTCCGTGTGATAGTTCGGAGATGTTCTATATATAGGGGAAATACGTACAAAGTGACATACAGTTTTGTTTTTGGGTCATAACTCTTTATTAATAAATCACAGCACATTCATATTGTACACCAGTAATCTTTGGTTTTATACCTATGAACTCTAATAGATATTTAAAAGATAAACTAACTGTTTTTTTTTAAATTAAAGTTTAACTGAGTTCAACGAAAATCCATTTTGTCCATAGCATATGGACAAAATGACATACATTACAAAATTAATAACATTAACGACAAAGCTTGCAAATGGATCGCTTTGTTCGCTTAGGGACGTCCGTGTAAGAAGGGTGGGTCCACTGCGAAGCACTTAAAGACCGCAACCAGTATTCTCCAGGTCTTGACCGGAAGAAAAGATCGTTGCAATATATGCAAGAGCAATCCTCTTTCTTCTTCACCGACTTCTTCGAACAAGGTTTTGGTAACGTGTCTTCTCCTCTTTCCTGCAAGAGCTTTAGGTTTTTTTTGACTTTATTGCTTTCATGTTTGGAGGAGAAGTCAAAATCAAAGAGGTTTGTTATAAATTTGGCTTAGGTTTCTTTGGCCACTAATGTAACGTCCTTTTGGGACAGGTGATATATCCTCAATAGGCACTACTAGAGTATTGGAAGAAGGGCGTTCTTTATTACCAACAGATTTTGATTTGGAGCAGGTAAAATAAGGTCTTGACCAGTGTTTGATGTTGAATTATCGCCTTGTTCAGTAGAGTCGGTGGTTTGAACTGTATCGTTTTTGTGAGGGGTTTTTGTAAAGTTTTATCTCTAAAGAAATTAACAGCTTTGAATAAAGGTATGCTAGTGCGCAATTAGCTATTGCTAGTGCACAATTAGCTCATTGAGTTCTTATGAACGACATACCTATTTCATTTTGTCCGTTACCTATGTATGTCATTTGGTCCTTATAGCGTTATAAAAAATCAAAATTCAACAATAAATTCAAAATTAATATTATTTACGGAAAAAGTTATTCAAATGTAACAATAAGTACCTAAGGGGTGTAATAAATGTACAAGCAAGGTAAAACTATGAAAAATATAATATTAATTCAAAAAACTCACTGCAATCCAAAAAAATACTCGTAATCTACCAATTTTTGTCGTCGGCTATTACACCGGAACGAAAGACACCTGCGAATTCACATTTCTACAGATATTGATTAAAACTACTTTTAGGGATTTTATCGCGTTTATTTTACTTTTAATTACTTTTATTTTTAATTCCCGACGTTTCAAAAAAATAAATAAAAGTAATTAAAAGTAAAATAAACGCGATAAAATCCGTAAAAGTAGTTTTAATCAATGTGTAGTGTTCGCGTAAATATAAGAAATCATTTTGACAGATAAGTATGAGCTGGTAGAGTCACGTGATATCGTTATCTAGGACGGGCTAGAATTGACAGAATTTGAAATATGATGCCTGTGTCATTTTGTCCGTGTATGCCATTTTGTACGTACTTCCCCTACTGTTTATGATTCGGAATTTTGATAGCGTGATTTAGGCTTCGGTGTATTTCGCTTGTGGCGCGACGACAGCGCCGCCACATCACCCCCCTGCTCAGACCGGAGGTCGATAGTGCAGCCTCGTTGCCGTGCAAGTGACAGGAGATTGCCTAAATGTTTAAGAATGTTATGGACGAATATTGATACTCCACCGCCAATAACATTTTTTCTGTGCTGATGGTAGTGAGTATATCCGGGTAATTGAAATCTCTTGGCTTCATCATTAGACTTAATCCATGTTTCAGTAAGAATAAGCACATGTATCGTAGATTTGAAAGATTCAACAACACACCTCAGGCTTTACGATACTTCTAGTATTTGCGTATAAGAATTTTAAAGATTGTTTATTGGTTATAAGGTTAATATAATTGTTTGTTATTTGGTAAGTAGTGTTATGTTCGTTTGCTTTGTCACTCATGCATCGAACTTTTTTGGTAATGTTTTAATAATTTTTGGTACATTTTTAATATACTTAATACATATATTTTCTTCTCCCTCTTCAGTTCTACGTTTCAGTTCTTCTTTCAGATGTTTAAGTTGATTTTGTTCAAATGGTGTCTCATCATCATTCATCATTACAGCCCTTCACAAGTCCACTGCTGAACATAGGCCTCCCACAAGTAATGCCACAAAGCACGGTCCTGAGCCACCTGCATCCATCGACTTCCTGCATATCTTACCAGGTCGTCACTCCATCTAGTGGGGGGTCGCCCTACACTACGCCTACCGGTACGAGGCTGCCACTCGAGAACCTTTCTTCTCCATCGGTTATCGGTTCTTCGAGCTATATGGCCGGCCCATTGCCACTTCAGCTTACTAATCCGTTGGGCTATGTCGGTCACTCTGGTTTTACTGCGGATATCCTCATTTCTGAGTCTATCACGCAGAGAAACTCCGAGCATAGCTCTCTCAATAGCTCGCTGAGCGACCTTGAGCGTCCTCATACGGCCAGCAGTGAAGGACCACGTCTCAGATCCGTAAGTCATCACTGGCAACACGCACTGGTTATACAATCTAGTTTTTAGAGATTGAGGTATACCTGACGAGAAGATGTGTCGTAATTTACCGAACGTTGCCCAGCCGAGTTGAATCCGTCGATTGACCTCTCGGTCGAAGTTGGACTTACCTAGTCGGACTATTTGTCCCAGGTAAACGTACTCGTCAACAACTTCGAGCATAGTGCTCCCAACAACTACCGACATAGGTGTGACATGGACAAATGGTGTCTGATCAGCATAAAATTTAATTTTACTATCTTTTATGTTTCCTTTGTTGCGCAAAATAAGCTTTACAATTTCTTCCGAATCAAATGTAACTTTTATTGGACGATTCGTTCCCGGCTTGTATCTTCCAATGCGTATATTTTTTTTGGTCCAGGACAGTCTTTGAGTAAGTTTTTGATAGCATCGACTACTTTAATCTTGTCTAGATCAATACATTCCTTGGCGTCCGTTGACTGAGGTTCAGGAATACCAGCAATAAGTATGTTCTTCTTTCTCACGCTTTGGTCGTTTAATTTAGACAGTATTTCTTCATAGGAGGGTTTTATAGATGTATCGCTTGGTAGATTTTTTAAGTTTGAAGGTTGCAAAGAAACTTATATTTTTATTTTTTATTATTGCAGACTCTTAAGCCAACCCCCCCCCCTCCGAACGGGTTCCCGCCTTGTCGTGGTGGGGGGGAGGGACTTAGGAGCCGTGGCTTGGTCACCCGCGGTGAACAAAGAGTAACCCACATGGCTGGCCCGAGATAGCCACTTCGAGTGGTCTTGGCGAGCCCACTTCGGATGTGTGCTGGTGGACTGCGCCGAGAGGGGTGTCCTCTCCCCCTACCGCTGCAGCCGAGGTGGAGTCGCGAAGGAAGAGGAGTGATGGTATGGCGATGCGCCACTCGCCCTATCCTCCGCGACTCAAACGGGGCCACACTGTTGATGCGGTGATGGTGGGGCTACGGGTGGAGAGCTCTCTACCCTCCGCAGCCGAATCTTGGTTGGCGGCGGAGCCATAGACCAGATCCACCGCATGGGTCAGGAAGGCTAGTGCTTTTGAGTGCTCGTTTTTCCTGGCCCCATGGCCTTCGTGCATCGGACACGGGGGCGTTCGTTGCGCAGGTGTAGTTGGAGGCCGTGGAGGAAAGCACGCCATGTGTTCTGTTGCGCCTTACTTGAAAAGGAGAAAGGGGAGAGTAGTCCTCTTCCGAGGAGGCGCCGCAGTGGGGCAACCGGTGTGGCGGCGCTGTCGTCGCGCCACAAGCAAAATACACCGAAGCCTAAATCACGCTATCAAAATTCCGAATCATAAACAGTATATGTAGAACATCTCCGAACTATCACACGGAGCGTTGGCCGCTCCCCGGGCAGAACACCTTGCCCGGCGGGAGATCTCCCCTTTTCCTTCTATGGCCACAGTGGTGACCACCCTTCGTGATCTGAACACGTAACCAACAACCTTCGGAAACTTCAAGCTTCATCATCGTCATAAAATACCCCACCCATTCGCTCCCGAGCAGATATTGTCTGCAGTCTTCATATCCTGCAAGCCATCTAGCTTCACAAGGTTCATCGCAGCACTGGAGTAATAGCTTCCTGTTCCTTCAAGCTACTCTCTGAGCTACAGTGATCGCCACGGCTCTGAGCCTTACTGCTCGCCTCTGCTTCACGGCACTCTCGCAGATTACTTGCCTTCTTCTCGACTCACCGCAGACTACAAGGCAATTTTAAGCTATGTTGATGAACTCGAAAAAGATGAAAACCAGTTCTTGTATCCACAACACAGGGGATCAGCTGCCAAAACTAAAAAACAAAATATTTTGTTGCAGTAAATTTTAGCCTTTGTTATTAGTTACTTACAAAATGCAACGCATAATACCTACACACAATATACAGAAGCAGTTTGAATATATATTACCTGACAGGAGATTTTAATGCAAATAAATGATACATAATCTATTAAAAAATGTATGCGTGCGTGCGTGAGTGCGTGCATGCGTGCGTGCGTGCGTGAGTGCATGCGTGCGTGCGTGCATGCGTGCGTGCATGCGTGCGTGCATGCGTGCGTGCATGCGTGCGTGAGTGCATGCGAGCGTGCGTGCGTGCGTGCGTGCGAGCGTGCGTGCGTGCGTGCGAGCGTGCGTGCGTGCGTGCATGCGTGCGCGCGTGTGTGTGTGTGTCAGGGGTTTTAATATTACCAGGTTTCATTAACAAAAAAAAGTTATTGCAATTTCGATCTAGACCTAACTTGTTACTTATTTGAACAAAGCATTAAAAAAACAAGTAATTACTTTTCATCATTTATTAATTTTAATTTAAATAATCTTTGACACAATTAACGCAAAATACAAAAGTACTATAGTTAAAACCACCTTAATAAATATTTTTTTTATATTTAAAAAACATTGTTCATAAAATTGTTTTTATTTCTTTTATATGTCAGTGATATGTCTTGTTACAGAGATATTAAAGGTGTTAAGGAAAGCAAGCATCACTTCGACAAAATCTCAAATGAATTGGATATAGCTTTAATAAGAAACTCACAGGTATGTGTACTTAAAATGTTCTGCATTTTAGACACTTTAGTTGTATATAATGTAAGCTTACTGTTACAATTTATTAAAGTCCACTGCTGAACATAGTCTTCCCCATAGATTGGCCATAAGGGGGATATTTGGCATAGTTGCCACGCTTGGCCGACGCAGCGTGTTGGCAATCGCAGTTTTATCTGTCGCCTCTCACGACACCCTCTAGATGATATGGGGTAGTGGATATCCTTACACCGCCACTACACGGTACGGTGTAATGTACTCTTAAGGGGAAATATAACCTCAAATGGCTTAGCAAGATCCTCCGTTACGCCGAAAGTATTGCAGCATTAATTTTGAAATAAATATATGGTAAAGTTGAGGATTAATGTTAAGGTTTATGTTAGACGAAAACACGATTCCGTAAAATTTTCTCGATAGAAAAAAAATCCAAAGTTACCTCCAAACTGAACAATAAACCGCTGTTATTCATAAAATACTTTAAATAAGATCATGAAACTTTGCATACTAACTGAACTGTATAACCATAAAGCAGTGCTTATGTTACTTTAGTTCAGTTAGTATGCAAAGTTTCATGATCTTATTTAAAGTATTTTATGAATAACAGCGGTTTATTGTTCAGTTTGGAGGTAACTTTGGATTTTTTTTCTATCGAGAAAATTTTACGGAATCGTGTTTTCGTCTAACATAAACCTTAACATTAATCCTCAACTTTACCATATATTTATTTCAAAATTAATGCTGCAATACTTTCGGCATAACGGAGGATCTTGCTAAGCCATTTGAGGTTATATTTCCCCTTAATTAATAAAATTAATGTTAAAATTTAATACGTAGCAAAGCCATGCTGCAGCTATATTATGGTTGTAACACGAATGGGTCGGCTCGAACGGAGAAGGGCCACGCTCTCACAGAATACCAACGTAAAATAGCAGCTTAATTCTAACTGTGTTTCGTATGGTGAGTGGAGATCCTTATTACTGGATGTAAGGCATTCCATCTTAGTCCTTAGGGGTGACAACGCATCTGCATTTTGATTCCTAATCGATGTTAAATGTAGATGTCTGTAGGCCACGACATCCACTTACCATCAGGTGGACTGTATGTAGAGAGAGAACAAAGAAAAGATGGATAATTTGTGTTAGTGATGATATGCGCAAGAAAGGAGTGATTGAAGAGATGACTACTAAATAGGGAAATGGAAGAGGAAGACATGCTATGCCGAACCCATATAACTTGAGTTAAGTACAGGAAGAAGAGACTAATCTTGATATTTTGTTCTTTAGGTGTCGCGTCATAAAGCCGGTGACGTTGAAGAGGCAGTAAATTTATTGCTGGCCACTCGTTCGTGTTTCCGACATACTGCTCTTGACCATGTGCAGAAAATTACAATGTTACAAGCGAGGAAACGCCATGAAATCCTAGCAACTGTAAGTCAACTTTTACTTTTTAGTATATGACTGCTACTTTGGTGTTCCTGACGTCACAGCCTTTCGTACTTCCCGGATCGTATCGTCGGGCTGCGAGAGTCAAACCGGTTCTGCGAGCCTCACCACCATCGTGGACGTAACGCGGCACTACTACCAGGCTTCTTGCTCGGAACCACCCGGTCGCGAACGCACGCATAACGGGTACTCTTATAATATATTGTATCAGAGCCTATTAAATCGCTTATACAGTCTACATATCGAAATATTTATTTTAATTCGAGAATTCCACCAGCACAATTGGAGCACGATACTCAACATTTGGTCTAGTGGTCGTATGGTCACGAGTTCATATCCCGGATCGTAGCATAATCGGTTATTGTGGTTTTTCTGTTGAGAAATTCTCAGTTTCAATCCATGTGGCTAGAAAGTTGGCGGTTTTTCACCCCTGTGCCTCAGATAGCACGTAAAAGCCGTTAGTCCGAGTTATTCCGTTTATCCACTCTAGGGAGGATTCACGGAAACGCGTGTTATATGATTTTTGTTGAATGAAATGTTGAAATAATATGATTTTTGTTGAAGTTTGTGGTCAATAATATATTTTCTGTCAATAATATATTTTCTGTTGAACTGTACTTGGGGTGGACAGGCGGAACAACAATCAAAAATAAACGATCACGTGATTACGAGTATCCACTCTAGGGTGGATTTCTTAGGGCGGATAAACGGAATAATCCGTTAGTCCTAAGGCCTGATCTCTCTCTGTTTATGTTGGATTGCCATTCCATCAGACCATGAGAGTGTGGTAACAAAGCGCATCTGTGTTCGTGAACTATAATCCTGTCTTGCGATGATGGATTAGTCTGTTGAGACATGCCGCCGTGATCAACATTATTACCGAAATTATTACCGCGTATATACCCCTTTTATGTTTATATTTATGTGTGTTCCTTTTTCATTATAGAAATGATTTCGAAGAAATTAGTTCTGTATGTCTGTAAAATTAAATAAAAATTAATATAACCTCTTTTAAAACAGTAGTTAAGTTAGTTAAGCAAAGTTTAATAGTGTTATTAAAATGTGCGTTAACAGTGTTTATAAAATACATGTTGATATTTTACAAAGCTGTTAAAATACTTTTTGTACATTTAAACACACTAGTTATAGATTTTATTACGCAGCTCCTGTATTTAGCGTTAAATATCGAAAAAATAAACGACACTCTTTATTTTGTAGGAAATACCTATGTTTAAAAATATAAAAGCCCCATCAAATATTCATTACCATCTGATATCGGATTTTGACTATTCTCTAATGTTTTGGTGCGGGTGCATGGTGCATGGTGGAAAGCATGGCGGTTGGGTAAAACACGAGCAATAATTAGCACCTCTAACAATAACTTGACTATGGGGGACTTCATGGTAGTGTTCAATTATAACAACACATCTGTGATTCTCTTTCTTTATAGTTGTTTGCCACTTACCATCAGGTGAGTGATATATATATCGATGAACCGATAAATTATTCACGTTGTCCAACATATTGACTTTATTGCTTTTATTTATCCAAATAAACAAGTTCATTAGAGACATATTTTTTTAGGTGGTGGTTTGTTACGAGCCATGCTGCAGCTATATTAATTGTATAGTCACGAATGGGTCGGCTCGACCGGGGAAGGACCACGCTCTCACAGAATACCAGCGTGAAATAGCAGCTCAATGCTGCTGTGTTTCGTATGGTGATTTTAGAGAACCGGAAACCCTTTTTACTGGAAACGAGGCATTCCATCTTAGTCCTCAAGGCTGACAACGTATCTGCATTTTGATTCGTAACCGAGAATAGATGTAGATGTCTATGGGCCACAGTAACCACTTACCATCAGGTGGCCTGTGTGCTCGCTTGTCACCCTTTTCCTATAAAAAAAACCTAGAAACACTTTCTATTGTTATTTAATACAACATACGGTATTCATATTATGTTTATATTCAATAGAAGTAGATTTATTAAATCATATCCTGTTGATATTATTGCTTACGCAAAACAATGCTATGAGGCGAAATTATGTTTCTCATCGGGTGCAAAGACGCGCGGTTAGAATAACAATAGTTTTAGCTAATTGACTAATTATGACATCGTGCTGTTACGGCGGTTGTGTGTGATACCAGATTGCGATTTCAAACGGTTGAGTGTTCGTGAGAACTTGTGCCATTCAACTGCAGGTAATTACTTACACAGTAACCTCAATATTTCTTGTGTGTTGTAGTCTTACTATAATAATAATTCTTTAATAAAGTTTTTGTTTGTTATTATTTTACTTAATGCCGCCACGCACTTAATTTATATATGCTTGTTCAAGTATTCGCAAATACAAAAATATTGCTTATTAAATGAAAGCATTCTCTATTAGTAGGCCTACCATACTGTTCTCTTAAAGAAATTGTAGGTCATGATAACAAATCATAGAACATTTATATTCTAGCTTTATATTTTATAGGGGATTAGTTGTTTCATTGAGCAGTGAAGTCTTATAACTTGTAAGGGGCTTATATTAAGGCAAAGTTTCATTACTTACTTTTCAGCGCCTTTTTTATGAAACTGAAGTAAAAAACGGACTTACATTTAACTTACAGTACGGGTAAGTAGTTAGTGCAGTCCATATTCACTTAAAGCAGACTTTATACAAAGATGACTACCTTGTCATTTTTGAGGATTAAGGCGAAATGCCTCAGCCTGTAATTAAAATGGCTCTATACCAGCATCGTATACTATTTTACCGTCTGGTAAAAAATAGGATGTAACACGTGAATGGAGTAGAAGCCTATGGCACTGACATTTTACTAAAATGTTTTTTGTATTAAATCAATAAATTAATTAAAACATATCGAAATTCAAATCATATCCACCCTAGTCTGTGACCCTGTTAAGTGACAAGGTCAAATATGCCTACTAAATTTATTGTTTTACTGCCGTTTGTAAAGAAGGGTGGATATAATTTGAATTGCGATAAATTTTATTTAGTTAATTTATTTAATTCAATTTTTTTTGTAAAATATCAGTATCATATAGGCTTCTACTCCGTTCACATGTTACACCATATGTTTTTCTAACGGTAAAAAAGGTCATCCAGTATAATAAAAACATTATGCCTATATCTTGGATATTAATAGCTTTTTTGATAATGTTTGAAAAATAATGTAAATGTTCGCAATTTATTTTGATTCACTATTTTACTGTGTGATAATATACACAATAAGTGAACACTGTATTCTAGTACCGATAAGTGAGAACTATCAAATCGCGAATACAAAAAATTCGTAATTAGACAAATATTAATGTGTCACGTTATGAAGTGTATTGATGAAGAACAACGTGCCTTACAAGATAACACGTATCATATCTACAAAATGAATGTATCACTGAGTCATTAGCACCAGGGCAATGCCAGGTGAATCGTTTTCAATAGATTTTTTCTTTTTGCTAACACACCCACTACTGCGTCTCCACAAGGTTACAAGTAACAAATGCGACTAAAGTTTCAAATAATCCACTCCAGTGGTCTTGCGATGGCGGTTATGTATTCAGTTGCATAAGGAATCGGTTATTTTGTCATCGTTTACACTTCGCTGACTGTGTCGTCTATTTAGCGTAGTATTATTGGCCTCTTGACGAGTTCACAAGTATTTCCATAAGTCAGGTAATTCGTAATTTATATTTTTTATTATAATATTTACTATGTATTCACTTGAAATAATAACAATTTTACGGATTTTATTGCGTTTAATTTTAACTATCTTAATTCCCGACGTATTGGACACTTTTGAGTACCGGAACGTACCCGAAACGTCGGTAATAAAAGAAAAGTTAAAATAAAACGCGATGAAATCCCTAAAATTAGTTTTATACAATGTGTAGTATTCGCGGAAATATGAGAAATCATTATATATGTATATTCACTTATTCGAGGAATCATTATTTGTTCACGTAACTGAAGACATAATCCGGGTCAAGTATGTTTCCTTCATGTTCTTTGTTTCTGTTATTGAAAACTTTATTCATGCATTTTCATTATTCAAATAAATCATAATAAATAAAGTGCTTACAACAAGTGCAAGTTTATAAAATCATTTTTGATAAATGTTTAACTCGTTCATACCTACTATACTCGTTTTATTTTAACTATATTAATAAGCCAAAAAATTAATAAATGATAAACATTGATTAAAACTACTTTTACGGATTTTATCGCGTTTATTTTACTATTATTTTTAATTCCCGACGTTTCGGGCGCTTTCCAGCATCCATGGTCACGGGGGACTGAGATGACTGACGTCCCGATGTCATTGTTAAACCCAGAGTACCTTCAGCTTTTTTAATTATTGTTTATGGTCCGATCTATGCAAAATGAACTGACTATGTCCTGAGGTCTTGCAGTGGTATGCTTGGGTTTAGTTTTAATTTTATTGATTATAGGATCCCAAGCAGGTGGTAGTACCCAGCCTCCTTCTCTTTTGAAAGTAGGATGTTTTTTGTTGATTTCAATAGCCTCACGTATCATCCTTGGTAGGAATCGGTGTTCTTTCACGAGGATTTGTGATCTATCAAATCTAATGTAATGGTTGGGGCCGTCTAGGATATGATCGCAAACTGCAGACTTCCCGGAACGTTGATGCTTCATATCAGCTCCGGGTTTAACAATGACATCGGGACGTCAGTCATCTCAGTCCCCCGTGACCATGGGTGCTGGAAAGCGCCCGAAACGTCGGGAATTAAAAATAATGGTAAAATAAACGCGATAAAATCCGTAAAAGTAGTTTTAATCAATGTGTAGTGTTCGCGTAAATATAAGAAATCAAAATGATAAACACTTAATTTTTTGTAAAACTATGCAATACTGTACAATTTTCTTTTCAGTTTCTATCGTACATGCAGGCTTGCTGCACGTACTACCATCAAGGCGCCGATTTATCAGAAGATCTTGAACCGTTCCTTAAATCCACAGCTGACGAGGTATTTAGATAAACATGTTATCATTGACATTATTTCTTAGTTTTTTTTTAAATGTTTTAACGACAATTTTTTTATCTTTTAACGACAAGTAAAAAGGGTGTAAAAATTTATATGTGTGCCATTTTATCTACATCTGTTTACTTGGCGTACCTATTTAAATATCTCTTCTTTTATAATAAAATAAGAATTATGAATACAAATAAAAAATTGAAGAATATCTAAACTGTTACAATGTATATCATTTAACTACGGAAGAAAGGTTCTCGAGTAGCAGTCCTGTACTGGTAAGCGAAGCGTAGGGCGGACCCCACTAGATGGAATAACGACCTGGTAAGAAATGCAGGATGTCGATGAATACAAGTGGCCTGTGTCTTGTGGCGTCCCTTGTTCAATAGTGAACTTGGTGGACTGCAGTGATGATGATGAATTAAATATCAGTTAATGTTTTCTACGTAAATAACATTAAAATTATATACAAAAATATATACGTATATATACATATAAACATATATACGTGTTCCGTGTTGGATTCAAACTCGGCCCACAGCGCCGTACAGTTATGCTTAAACTAACAAGCTATAAATATTTTTATAAATATGGGGTTGAATATATATAAAATAAAAGAAGACTTCTTCAAAAAACACCGTCATTTTTCTCTCAAATATATCTTACAATTATAATTATAATTGTCGTTACTTCTTACAATCGTGCCCCTTAATTTTAAATAATAGCATTATGCAAGTCGATTCCCGTCCTATCCCGTAGCTCACTTTTTATATATAATGCCATAGATGATACCACTTTCTTTTTATAGAATATACAGTCCGCCTGATGGTAATTGGATGCTGTGGCCCATAGACAACTACATTTATCCTCGATTAAAAGTCAAAATGCAGATGTGTTGTCGCCCCTGAAAACTAACTTTGACTAACCAGTGATACTTTTTTTATAATTATATGCAAAGGAATATGGACATTGGTATTACTCATTACTTCCCAGTTGGAACATTCTCCCTTGCATAATCTAATTCTTTTCCCTGCCACCATCGGACAACCAGACGTGCGGCCAGTCTCCACCCTTTCGTTGTTGACTTATCACGCATTCGAACCAAACGGCTTGCTACGTCATTCGTCATACGTACAGCAAAGGAGTAGTATAAGTTACCAGCATCTGTATTTCCATCCGATTACAATGTGGGTGTCTTCAAGGCAAGAGTGAATAGGTCTTTGTTAAGTCAGTGCGCTTCACCATCTCAGGCTACATCACAGAATAATTAAAAAAAAACAGTGTCTTTCGTTGTCGTTGTCGTGTCGTCTAAAAGTCAGTCATCTTTCGTTCACATTCGTATAAATTATACATATCTTCAAAAACTATCTGCAAAGCTGCAGCTTGAGATTCCTATCATATTTTATTACATCACAATTCTATAAACAATTTATTTAATCACACATTTGACTTACATTTTCAGGTAGTCAAAATGCGTAACGACACAAAAATACTCGACAAAGAAATGGAAAATCGGCACACGATCGTGAACAGCAAGGATACAGTTTTGCCCAGCTGTACAGCGAGCGTTACTGAAGGGGACAGCAAAGACGGCCTGCTCAGTACACCATGCTTAAAAAATCTGCCCAGAATGCAGGGCTACCTCTTCAAGAGGACTTCGAATGCGTTTAAAACATGGAACAGGCGATGGTTCTATCTGTATGATAATCGATTAGTATATAGGTGAGTATGTTGACACGTTGAGTTTGGAGACAAATAAAGGTTAATAAAATTAGGACTCGATTGCAGTTTGTTTATCTTTCTTGTTGAAACATATGTATACCTATGGATGTATACATATGTATATTGTTTCTGTTATAACTCAATATTACTATATGACTGCCTCGTTGGTCTAGTGGTTGCAGTAGTGCGACTGCTGATCATGAGGTCCTGGGTTCGAATCCCGGCCAAAAAATAAATTATTGAGTTTTTCCGTCAAGAAATTCTTAGTAGCTGCCCGGAGTCAGAAAGTCGGCGGTGTCTCACCTCCGTGCCTCGGAATGCACGTAAAGGTCGTTGGCTAGACTAACTAGACTAACGGCCTAGAGATCAGTCTCTGTCCGGTCGTGTCGGTTTACCGTCCCATCGGATTATAAGAGTGAGGGAATAGAGAGTGCACCTGTGCTTGCGCATACACTTGGGCACTATAATCCTGTCCTGCGCCGATGGCTAGCCTCCGTTGAGGCAGGCCGCCGTGGCCGAAATTCGATCTGAAGGACATTATACTATATCAATATTAGTATGAGTTTGATTTTGACTTTCGAAAGTGCCTATCATTACTATTGAATGTTTTTTGTTTAAAAAATGTTACCCCATGTTCACCTGTAGTGGGGGGGGCTTGGTGCTGTCTGTTTTTTTTTTTTTTTTTTTTTTTTTTTATTTGTTTCTTCCTCCACCAATTAAGCGTGCAAAATGTTTTTATTGTTATCCTTATTTAAATAATTGCAGGAAAAGGACAGGTGAATTAAACGTTACTGTTATGGAGGAGGATTTGCGGCTGTGTACGGTGAAGCCAGTACAAGATGGTGAGCGGCGCTTTTGCTTCGAAGTACTGTCGCCGTCAAAGTGAGTTTTAATAATTGACAATTTAGAAACTTACACCCAGTTACTATTTTGAAGATGGATACGAGTATGAGTATAGTTAGTGTTGCCCAAAATCGGTCTTGGCCTTGCAGTCTTGGTCTTGTTCTTGCATTTTTGCAAGACCAAGACCAAGAACAAGACCGCCTAATTTTAGCAAGACCAAGACCAAGACTGACCGTGCAAGATTTGAGCAAGAACAAGACTAAGCCTGCGAGACTCTTGCGTCTTGCAGTTAGGAATGAGTGTCGTTTCAGGGAGTATAGGAGTTCGGGTATACGCTTAGGGACTCTATGAGATGCAAAAAATATATAAAAAAAATTTGGAAAATTGGACTTATGCGCATTACGAACAATACCATAAACATACATAGCGGATGAAAATATCCATTAAAAGAAAAAACGGTGCATCCCTAGTTTTGACCATCGGCACTTTGATAGTGCGCGGCGTCATATTGTCGGCATCATCAAAGGTCGAATACTGACCTGTCAAAGAAATTTTACAGCTATTCGGAAGTACAAGGTCAAGATACACGCGCCGGCGGCTTCTATTGATATCGCATTCAATCGTCGCCGCCGCGCCGCACGCACTACATTTGACACTGTTTGAATGCCGCCACAGAGTACATGTTCCAAAGAATAAAATAAGTTTCCGGGTGCTCAGAATGGACACGAATACATTATGCTGATCTCGCAAGGAATATTGTAATTAGATAATGGTAAGGATAGGTAGATACCATAATAATTTATTCTAGTAAGTAATTATTATAATATTAACTATGTGGGTTTATAATAATTACTTACTATTATTATTATTACCTTATACGATAAACATGTTCAATAAGTTCATTGCAAATCTCGATTTTTGGAAGTGTGTGTTTTTTAACACAAAGTGTTCGAATATGTCGTCACCCATTTGATAAATATTGTAGACACTTTTAACACACTTGAAACGTGTAAACATTTTGTACAATGCTAATCGAATAATATATAAAGTGTGCATATTAAATAAAAAGCGTAAAATAAGATCTATGTACTTTTTAGGAGCCCGAGTATCTCTTAGAGAACCGTTTAAAGAAATTGATTGCATCGAATTGATGTAAATAATAGTGATTTGCACAATTTAAATAGTAGAAATAAAAATAAAATCACAATAACTGCTTTCCGGTTACACAAAGTATATAATGCGTTCTTGGGTAGCGATATACGGTTTTATAATAAGATTCCAAAAGAAATGTTAGATCTTTCATCTTTTCAATTTAGTCAGACAAAAATGCTTGGAACTGACCTCTCGTACTTCATAGGGCTAACTAGAAATTTCTAAACCGATTTGGTATCTACATATACATTTGACATTTTATGTTTGACTTATAGCTTTACATAATTATGGAACTATTGTAAAAATATTTTGAAAAGAGCAACTACTGAGTTTCTTACTTTCTTCTATGATTCTTCTCAGTAGAATCAGAACCCCTGGACATGGAAAAGAAAAAATTGGGGAAAACAGTGATTATATGACTATTCAAAAGTGTATATTTAATGCCTACTTGAATAAATTTATATTCATATTTGAATTTTGAATTTCAAACGAGTGAAGGCAAATTTAATTTATTTAACGTAGATTAATTCAATCACAAGATGAACATAATATACACAATTTTATTTACATATTTACATTTCATTTTTACGTAGGCACACTATACCTATCTGGCAACGCATCTACTTTATTAATCTTCTGAAGAATCATTAATTTTATCAAAGGATGCCGAACTTTCCTTTGTCGGTCTTTCGGCGTGTACTTACAAATAGTAGTATTTATTTTAATTCCAGTCATTCCCAATTGAGCTTTGCTTCGAGTCTAATGTATTAATTGTTTTTACTCTAATCCTTGTTGTTCTCGGAGTGATAAGTTTACAATTTGACATGAGTGACGAAGAGTCGAATAGTTCTAGGCGGAGTAGTAAGAGTTGGAGTTATAGTTCTAAAAGACCTAAAAGTAAATTTGATGAGTTTTTCGACTTAGTTCATGCATCCCAAATTGCTTTGTGTAAATTATGCCAACATAAAAAGGTTGAAATAAAATAAAAAACAGAAACACTTCAGGCTTAAGGAAGCATCTAATATCTTTCCACAAAAAAGGAATCACAAATGTTTCTTCCTGAAAAACCAAAATTAAGTGGAGATATCACAAGCTTTTTTAATAACCACCGGAAAAGTGTACAGGTAAGAAAAAATATACTTATCACACAATTACATAACACATATATTATGTAACTAGCGGCCGCCTGTGACTTTGTCCGCGGACAATATCTGATTTCCTATGAGATTTTGAAATTTTCTCGCTGCAAAAGTCTTACCTAAGTATAAAGAGGCTATATAGGTAAAGCTTAACTATGCAAGTATTTATTATTTAAAACTAATAAAGTAAATGTCGATCTTCATATCTATACTTTAAAAATAAAGGACTTGCATGTAACCATTTTACCCCAATTTCACCCCCTTAGGGTTAGGATTTCGTAAAACAGCTTATTCAGGATTTTATTATTGAAAACTTATACGATGTAAAGACTTTAAGGTTGCCCTAGTCGATGGCACGAACTAAATGGTGGGCGGGGCAAAAATGCATGCTATCTCAGCCGACATCTCGTGCGAAAGGGATAGACGCTGTGATGAGCAGTAAGAAGGTAGTGCGCACACACATACGCACTCGAGTGACGCAATGCGCGACGGCATCATCGCGTACCTAGGTACCTATGCAATATCACTTTAGAATAATAACATAAACTCAAACGGCAATTAGTAGCTGCGCTGGGTGCCGCGGGTTCGAATCCCCCACGGAACAACTATTTTGTATGGACTACAAATAGTTGTTCCGGGTCTGGATGTTTGTTCTTGTGCAATTTATATTTGTAAACTGCCTCCACTATACTGGAGAAAATCCTACTGTGGGGATAACGTATTTTAAAAAGAGAAAGAAGAGAGAAAGCAAATTGGTGTTATTGTAACTTAGGATCTGCTGTGTGAAACGTAAATATTATGAACCCAATTTATATACTTAGTTGTTATGATGAAAGTTCTTATGTGAACTTAAGTAGATGTTGTTATTATATAATAATTCCATTGATTTGTTTTTACCTATTTTTTAACCGACTTCGAAAAAAGGAGGTGGTTCTCAATTCGTTGGTTTTTGTTTATGTATGTTCTGTCCCCCGATTTCTCGAATATGCCTGAACCGATTTGGAAAATTATTTTTTTTTGTTTGAATGGATATATTTTCCAGATAATCCCACGGTAATCGATGATGATCAGATCAGGATCTGATGATGGGATCTTGGAGAAATCGGGGGCACTCTTCAATAAATGACAGCAAATCAACCGCGATTGCTGCTATCGCCTATCTATGCATTCTTTACGCAATCACACAATATAATATCACGCCTGTACCCACTAAAGGGACATAACTCTAAACTAAAAACGGTAACATAAAAAACTTTTTTTGAAAAAAATATAACAATTTCTAAAACAAACACAAAAAAGTGTAACATAATTATGTTTTCTTTATGTTTTTGTATTTTACTGTAGGTTATGCAAATATTACTGTAGGTACTATGTATTCTAAATAGGTATTTACTTTCCATAGCTAGTTAGCTATAATAGCCCGCAGGCAACTCCCCGACCCCGAAGTATATGTCAGCCAGTGTCAGGATAACTGCTTTTTCAACAGCGCGATTTTGATGTGAGTGTGGCTTTTATAAAGGTTAATTAAATAAAAAAAAATGTTAGTTTGTAAATGTTTATTGATTGTTTGTGTTCAATAGCGGTTTGAAATATTCTCTTAGTACTTAGAAAGTTATCAACAATAGGCATTGTGTCACTGCAGGGACAAGCATAAACGTCTATCAAAATAGTAACGTATATAAACAGCATAGACTTCCTTACAGAAGTCCAAAGAACACGTCTAGGCAAGGTAAGTAATTAGAAGAAAACTACAATTTAGAGATCGATTGTAAATCAAATTCACAGTACAGACACAATTAGCGAAATATGAGTAAAAATTTTATTTATTTTATGATAGATAACGCTAGTTGAAAACTAAACACTGTATGGGAATGGCATCACTGAACGAGTCAGGTGGTCAGTCCAAACAAATAAAAGGCACGAACAAAAAAAGGAAGCAATTTTTCTAAATAAAGATGTAGATATGTAGGTATTACAACCATAAATAGATAGCAGCGGCTAACCTAGTGAGCATGTGTGAGTGCGCGCTGCGTCCCCCCTCCGTCCGTCTCACTGATCGGGGAAACAATTTGTAGCGAAAGGCAAGATGTTTTATAACAAAAACGGGCGCGCGAAATTTTATAAACAGACCTTTGGTAGTCTGGATGTCACGAAAAAACCTATTGAATGTATCTGTTTAAAATAAAATTATTTTCATTTTTGAACAACTAATCTATCCCTGTATGGTAACTGTTTTGCTATTTTCGTTCTTCTTATGGTATTTATTTCCGCCCAAAGATGTGTTAAAACTAGTGTTGAAATTCGGAATTTTCGACGCTTATAACTTTTGAACATACTCTAACAATTTTCATCTAAAATGTCATTTACCATTGATGGATGGACGTCAATTGCTGGTAGGAGTTACTACGGGGTCACTATTCATTATATAGACAACGAATGGAAGTATCGATCTGTAGTCCTTGATTTTATACCATCACGCGGGGAAGATATTGCAACGATTTTCCACGAATGTTTATTGGAATATGACATAATTGATAAAATACAGGGTATCACGGTCGACAATGCAACTGCAAATACCAAATTTATGTATGAATTGGATAAACAGCTGCCACACTTTGATTCAGACAATCAATATTTCCAGTGCTTTGCTCACATTTTGAACCTTGGTGTACAAGATTTATTAAAGACCTTAGCATTACACAGTGAAACTGACAATAAAGGACAAGAACAGCAGTATGAAGATAATGA